TACAGAAGAAAGGACAGAGGGGGGCTATGGGGTAAAATTGGTTCTATATTTAAGGACTGCATCCGGTTGTTATGGCAACAGGAATTCCAGCCACCACGGGCTCCTCCAAACGCCTCCCTGCCATCCTCTGCAGAGCCCAACTTTGCATCACCCACCAGCCTCCTGCCTAACACTTGGGCTGAAGGGGAGGAAAAAAAATGTGCAATTCATCTTTTCACAGAAAGCGGTTTCCTCCAGAAGTGAAAAGCAAATGAGAAGAACAGCTTAAATAAATATGCCTACAGATACAAGCACTGAAAGCCAAGTCTAGTAGCAGGAAGCCTCAGACCCTCTCAACCTATGGAGCCCACAGGGGCTGGGAGCCACCAGCATGACAAAACCCACCTAGCGTGTCCGCAGGGGACAGCCACATGGGTCCTGATGTGGGCGAGGTGCTTACGGAGTGCATCCCAGAGGGGGGGAATGAACCCCTCCTTCCACACCCACCGCTGGTTCTCAGCAGGTCAGGCCTGCAGTTCGCACATACACTAGCAGCAGTCTGTCCCTCACAGTGCCACTTCCCCAAGCTCTGTTACTTTTGTCTGTTTGGTGAAAGTCTGCATTTCATCCATGCATCCATCTATGTACTTATATGGTCCTCATCTCCATCATGCCCAAATCTCAAGGGCCACCAGGACATTGTTTGCTTTTTTTTGCAGCTATCATGCTGGAATTCATAAACACAAAAGCTGTATGTGAGACACATGAAGTAAACCTTCCCTTCCCCATTACTAAAGCCTCAGCTGCAGTACTGCATCCAAGTTTGGGCACTGTTCATCAACAAAGACAGTCCCCAACTGGCGAGAGCCCAGAGGACAGCAATAGGAGTGACCAGAGATGTAGAAAACAAGCTCTAAGGAGAGACAGAGGAAAAAAGGTCAATAAAACCATAAAAATGGAAGGCAAAGTGGACATGGGTAACAGTTTTTGGTTGATAAAAGGTTCCTGTAGAAGAGAGCAAAGACTTTCTTTCCATATTTGCTGGGAAGCATTCAAAAAGTAATAGGATGGGAGAATTAGGATGGCTGTTGGGGAAAACTTTCAAAGCAGAAGTACAATAAAGCCCTGGAGTAGATTACCCAAGGAGTTTGGAGGCTGGAGACAGCATTAAGACTTTCAAGAAAAAGGTGCTTAAACATCTGTTGGGGATGGTCTAGACATATTGATCTTGGCTTGGTATAGGAGGATGGATTGGGGTAGGTCTTCGTGTCCCTTCCTGCCATACATAGCCGTGAGTTTTCTATGACAACCTCATATGTGCACTACAATCACATGGTGATCTTTAAAAGCCCACCTCACACCTCAGCAGCCATTTACAGCAATCAGTTTTCCTGGCTCTGGTGACCAGAATTAGGTCTGGTATTTCAGAAGGCAGCCAAGGTTTTCAGCATCACCCCTGGAAACACCTCACTTTGCATACACACAACAATTTTCAGCTTGTCTTTTTATGGCCACACCAGCCTGGAAGTTCAATGTCTCCAGAAGCAGCATTCACAGTTCTCTCTGCTCTATTTCCTCCCACCTGATGTCCTTTTACCTTAAACCAGCAAAACCTGTTATTAATCTATCAAACAGGACTCAGGATTAGAAATGGCTGTAATGCAATAACACCTTTCCTGCAGCCCATTAATTCCTGGTTTTCTAAACTGCTTCTGCTAAAGTCTTGCCTGTTCCAGAATTAGCAGCAGCTCATTTCATCTTACCAGGAGTCAAAAATCCTTTTCTTAGTAAGACACTGTGAAAAGAAGTCAGGATACTGCACCCGTGTTGAACCGTGTGCAGTTGCTAACAGGGTGTGGTACCACATTAACACTGACCCAGGGATCCCAATGGGGAGGCTGCTGAGCAACAGGGCAGCTTGAATCCCAACTTATTTGAATTGCAAATATAGAAAACGGAACAATTGGTAGTTGAAACAGAGAGAAAATGAAAGGGGGGGGATGAAAATGGAAATGAAATATATTTAAATTATCACAGGATAAGCCAGGAAAGGGGCAAGCTGCACCCAAGGGAGACCTCTGCAGCTGCTGCGAGAAAAAAGGAGCTGATGTTCTCACAATTGTGTTTTAACTCTAACTTCTTCCCTTGAACACTGTTGTACAAACCCCACATCAGCTCCGTGTGCAGCAACACGACCATGCGTACTGTGCGATGGCTGCAAACCACAGACATGGGGCAACACCTCTGTTAGAGGCACCCAGTCCCCTTGAACAGTCTCCTAAGTTGTCCAAAAGTTTTATTTTCTGGTAAATTCAATTCTAGGAAAGTAAATCTCAGAGTTATTGGTAACCAAAATATGCAGAAGAAGTGTACCATCCCAGAACAGCCGTGTCATCCAGCATCTCCTGAGTACATCCATGTATCAGCTTTGCAGCGTGTCCTCTGCTTCTAGTTATTTTTTCTAATTCACCTTGAACTGCTGCCATGGCTGCAGGATACTTTAGAAGAAATAGGAGAAGGTGAAAAACCGCAAGGCCTACATCACCCTAAAAATAAACACCCGAGAGGAGTCAGAATTATGAAAACAGTGAGTAGATGAACTGGAACCAATAGAGCCCCCATAAAGCACAGAGAGCAAAACACAAATCAGTGTCAGCACCACTGTGGTGACAAAAGCCACCATCCCCGTTCACAAGCTGCACCAAGTACTCCAGCAGGACATGAAACAGCCTCTTTACAGCAAAACCATGATTATTGCAACATAAGACTGGGAGGAAATGCAGCCAGTCAGTGGTACAGCGAGGTATCAGATCAGCCAGCATCGGGTATTTTTGTTCTTGTTAATAAATAAATAAATAAAATTGTGATGATTAAGTGGAAGCAAAATAGCACTGTTATCAATACAGAGTGCCTATGCAGTACATTAAACCCAAGTAATTTAAAGAGCAGAGCATATCATATAAATAATTCATTCTCTTTTGGTAAGCACAATGCAACTTTAGCTGCCTAAATTTTCAAGGAGGGGGTTGCTTTTTAATTAAAATGTAGGTATTTACAAATGCACATGGGCCTTTAATCATTCATGTTTGAAGCAAGCTGACTTGGTCATGCATTAGAAAGAATAAAGCAGCTTTCATCTTTCTGTAGATTACACCCAGCAAACTGCCAGGGCTGTGAATGAGCTGAGGAAGCTTGCCTTGTCATGAGAGCGCGTTTTGGTCCCCCGTGCAGCACAAAGTCATCTGGGAAGATGCATTTGCTGAGGTCAAACCAAAAAAAGAACAAAGTGCTGGAGAGCCAACGCGATGCAGAATCAATCTGTCTCAGTATCTGCCTTAAAGCAGGTTCTCCCCAACAATTAGGAATATTATGAAGGCAGATAACCAGAGTGCAGATGATTTCAAAGAGTTTAATTGCTTTCTTCCTAATGATACTGCAGGCAACAGCCCTCTCCCTCCTCTCCCAGATCTCTGCTCAATGGAAGCTTCTCAGCTGGTTTGTGGGGTCTGGGTCTGGCCTAGGCGAGGGCAGCACAGTGGGAACCTCAGCCCTGCTCTGAGCAGTAACTTCCACAAAATGGATTCCAGACTAAAATAAAACTCTACTGCTCAGGAAGTAAATCAAAAGCACCCAACCCTCATTATTTTGAAATCCTTGGATTTTTACTCTAAGGTGCTGAGTCTTGAGAGCCTAGCACCATGAAACAAGCATTTACCTGCACAGCCTGCTGCAAGGCACGGGTCTCTGCACAGATCCTGGGCTTCTCTGCCCCAACCTGCTAAAACATCTTGCAGCAACCAAAGATCTCTTCCACAGGTTTTGTATGCACCAGATGACCCAAGTCTGCCTCAAAGCACATAAATTACAGTATTTCAAAGAAAATGAAGAAAGGAATATTTCAGTTAAAACAACCCAGTGACCCTAACTTGCTCTGCTGGGAATTTGCAGCCCACCAGGAGGTGAAAACGAAGGAGGCTTGCAGCCCAGATTCTGTGCTGATGGCCAGTGGCTGCCTGCGGAGAGGCTGCAGCCGAACCTGGTGGCACTGAGCAGCAAGAGAGGATTCATGTTCACCTCTGCCTGGCCAAGCAGATCTACCTACATGTACGGCTCTGCCCCGCAGCTCCCCTCCTGCTCCCAGCTCCTCCAGACAGCTCCCATCGCCTTTGCTGCTCTGGCTTTTCACAGACAGAAGTTTCTAGAAATGTTCTTTGATGCTGACAGCCTCCTTCTCCACTGCATGGAAACAGAATCAGAAATTCAGGTGCTAACATAGTCTTGCTGCAGCAGAAATTCGGCTAGGAATGCAAAGTCTTGCAGCACCCACTTTGCACCAGATTTGCCCAATTTCTCTATCTGCAGGTGGGACCCCAGGCCCGGCCAGCACTGGCCCCCAGCTCTGCGCAGCCCCTGGCAGAGCAGTGCCTGCCGGGCCCTGGCACAGAGGACAGAGGCTCCAGCCTGTCCCAGCAGTGCCATCTATTGCCACACTCGGCTCCTTCACAGAGGGCCAGATCTAGGCAGAGAGGGAGAAGAGGGAAAAGGCAAATTCTGACTTCCCGGTTCACCAGCATGCTGCTCTGCCTTAGAAAAATTGATGTTTAAAATATCTGCTTGACCACGCTAGTCCCACAGACAGTGATACCTGAGAGCTCTGTTCCCCGTCGGAGCCTGGGGTCAGATGTTCCTTCATCCTCCGTGGGCCACAGCTCTGCTCTGACCTTGCTGGTGCAGATCTCCTGTTGTTGTTATCTCCAGCATCCCAGTGGGCCATCTGCCCGCAGCCCTAGCCTAAGGGGGAGCAGGAGAGCTGCTACATGGTCCCTCCAGCCCTGGCACTGTCCTGTGCTCAGCATGGACCAGGCATGGCATCAAAACCTGCTCCACTTTCCCAAACTCCTCATAGCTGTGTCCAGTGGACTACTGCAGTTTTCTCCATCAGTGCCAGACAGTGTCAAGTACTCAGCTCTGCTTCAGATGAAGAGTGAAAACATATTGATGCTCATGTTGTTTTAAATGCAGGGTGTGATACCTTGACTCTATGGATGTCTTCATCTGATCATTTTGATATTCAGTGGCTTTCTTGTCTCTCACTTCTCATTTTTGGACTCCTGATTAAAAACAAACAAACAAACAAACAAACAAACAAACAAACAAACCCAAAAAACCCAACACTGAAAACATCCCCCAAACTTCCAGTAAATGTCTCTCCTCTTCCCACAGAGAAGCAGTGATAAGCATCACTGGCACATAGCACTACTGCTGGTATTCATGTTTCAGTTTCCACAAGGGAATGACTTCCACATTTCGGTTTCAAGGAGGAATGACTTCTGGGTGGGAGAGAGGCAGCTGCAGGCTTGGCTTGATAGCGATTGGGGTGGTGAGGGCCGTGGCTCTGTTGAAAGGTTTGGCTGGCACAGCACAGCTTTTCCACACAGAGATTGGCATTTCTGCTGACAAGCCAGCCCCACGCCACTTGCATGACCAGACCTAGTCCTCTGATCTTTTCATACCACCTCAGTAGTGTCTGAGGGAACAATTTTACATCCCCTTTAGCGTGTGGAGCCACAGGGCTTACCCAAGGGATTTCCAGAGCACTGAGCCTTTTGTATGAAACCACGCTGGCTTAGCCTAACTCAGTACACCATGGTGCTCAGACTAAGCACTCCAGCAACCCACAGATGGGTAAGTGGTGTCTGCTCTGTGCCCACTTCCCACAGCATCCCGTGGTGAAGGGACCTGGCTCTGTGCCCCATGCAAAGCCATCACCTGCTCAGCTGCTGGCAAGGCACCTCCATGCCTGAGGAAGATGGGAAAAAAAAGTTAAAAAATCAAACATCTAACTCAGGCCTTTCAGGTTTGTAACTTGCTCTTAGCTGAGTTATGTCTGTTACAGCCTTAAGGGCAATCTCTGCCCACCCAGAGACAGTCCTGGCAGCCCCATTCCAGCTTTCTGCCCTTCTCTCAGCCTGCACAGCTGAGACACTGATGTGCCTACACCTACACAGCAACTACTGCTTTGGAGTTTTGGCAGCTAAACCCCAACCTTTGCTCCAGAGCTCTCTCCCCAGGCCCAAGCATATCATAGTACACTGACCTCAGAGGGTCAGGGCCTCACAGAGGGTCTTGGCCAAAAACGAGGATCACAGTGCCAGAGACAGAATTCAACTCACCCCAGTGCCATCCTGCCTTATCTGATTCATTTTCAGTCTGGTGCAGAGACTCAGCACACAAATACCTAAACTATAACAGAAACTGCCAATGATTTGATCATCTTCCAATACACTGTAGAAATCCCTTTAAAGCAGCAGAGGAAACCACACTGAGCGGGGACATGCTGCAAAGATTTACCTCAGTCTGAAGTGGTTGCTCTGAATAAGAGTCTGAGGGAGAGCATACCTTCCCCTACAAAAATAAAATAATATAAAAGTCCAGCTCTGCCATCACTCTTCTGGGTACATTTGGATAAGAAATGGGTTAGATTATTCTGAATGGAAACCTGACACTGGAAACTCTGGGCTGCTGCTCAGAGCACATACAGCCTCCTCCAGACACTGGCCTTTCTGAAGAGCTCTGCTACATGTTCAGAGCAGTGTCACTGCAAAGAGGGAAAAGTTATTGTTTGTGTTACTTACTAATGTCTTTATTTTGTAAGTGCATGCTGTACAGACAATAATACAAGATCTGACAGCTGGCAAGCAAGGAAGAAAACTTGCACTGCAGGGAAGGGGATTTAACCATTCAAATTCAAGCCCGGGAAGCATGAATCTGCTCGAGTGCTGTTGATCCTCTCAGATCAGCACAGATTCAGGTTGCAAACTCTCATTTGACTCTAATGCAAAGCATAGTGCAAGCCTTGAGAGTTCTGAAAAAGTATTCAGATACACATTTATTATTATTATCCCAAGAAAACCATGGTTTTCACCCAATTACTTGAGGTTCCTCCTTTTCATTCATATCCTTTGTTGAAACCATGCACATGGCTACGGCTGTAGCAGCCTGAACAGATGCTGCTGTTTAATCCCTGAGCATATTTCTCAGCAGGTCTTGGACCCTCCATCTCTACACATGCCCTGCAGGGAGCAGAGCCTCCTGCAAGAGGCTGATGCTGAACTCAGCTCACTGCATCAGGGCTGATGACTCCGTGGTGGGACAGAGCCCTGGCAGCCCCAGCAGAAGGCTCAGAAATTGGAGGGAGGGCACAAAGGAGCATCCAGCAATCATGGCACACCAGTATCGGCATCATGATTTTAGCTGTAGACCACTTTAGCAATCAAGAAGGGTGACTGATAATGCTGATATTGTGTTATATTTTACCCAGCCAGATAAATCTCTCCTTGCTCCATACCCACACAGCCTCACATCTGCCTCAGGCAGAGAACAGAGGAAACCCAGGCAGGTATGTGTCTTCTCTGCCCTGGAGAAAGGGAGAGGAAGACACCATATGCTGTTAGCTAAAGACGCTGTCACAGCTCTTGCAGAGTAACTCCTTGAGCAAGGGTGAGAGAGCAAGGACCATGGAACATTTTGTGGTGCATTTCCCTGTGTTCCTGTTCTAGCCAAAAGTATTTGGGAGTGAAAAGATAATTAAGTCAAATATCTGTGTGTGAAGAAGTTGTCAGTACTAGGAGACATTTTCATAGAGCATGAGCTGCCTTCCCAGGCTCAGCAGCTGAGCCATCCAGTGACAAGACACGGACAGACACTGTGGAGCACAAGTCTGGACCTGGCTGTTTCTGAGCCAAGCATCTGGGTCTCCAGCCCTGCAGGCTGCAAAACCTTCCAGTGAATTTAACCACAAAGGTTAAGCACCTCCAGCAAACAAGGCCAAGTCATTTGTTGGTGGAGGTTGCAGACCCTGAAGGTGCTCCTGCCTGGGTGCTGCAATCATAGAATATCTCAAGTTGGAAGGGACCCACAAGGATCAAGTCCAACTCCATCACTCCAGCATTGTCCTTGAACCATTGGAAAGCAACTAGGAAAACTGCTTTTGGTCAGTTGTCACAGCCTGTCCAAGTTGCAGCCATCAGCATTGCATCAGGAAAGTGTGGGAAGTTGCTAATCTAAGTACAGCATCACACTTGGGACTCTGCACTTTCAGATTCATCTCAAGCAAAACATCTATAACTGCATTTTGCACTCAAGATATCGTAAAGAAGAAAGCAAAAATAAAAACCCACCATCAAAACAAACCAGCAGGGCCCTACCTACCACTCGCTGCCAAAGGCTGTTTGGAAATGCCAGTCTCCATCCGCCTCCTGAAACACAACCAGAAGCTGGCAAAGGCGCCTGGTGATGAGCAGCCTCCTCACCCTGCTGCAGAGGGGCTTTGCAAATCCACCAAACAAAGAACAACATTCCAGTTTTTAACGAGTTTAGCCAAACATTTCAGCAGATTGTCTTTTCCCTGACACATCTAGCAATATTTTGTCATCATAAATTGACTCTGGTTTATATTAACTAAAACCCTCTCTCATTCAATATCTAGTTTGAGAAATGTTGGCAATGAGCATTAATTCAAAGTAGATTTATACCCACAGACCGTGCTAGAGCGCTGGGTTGAGTTTCCCAAAACATGGACCTAAGTTTACCAAATAAGAACATGAAAAACCAAAGAACTGATTCACATCATCCAACTTACACAAGATAGATACACGAGGGCAGCGGGAATCCGCCAACATAAACCACTGTCAGACTTTGCGATATTCGTGTATACTTAAGAAAACATGAACTGCAGTGTCTCAAGAGTAGACAGTACTTGAAAGGAGTCCAGCATGGGGTTTAAAAATTCACTGCATCCTCAACTGCCCCTTGCGGGACACGGTGCTCCTGGAGCTGGGGGCAGGAGATGCTTCCAGGGAGCAGCCGCTGCTGACAGCTCACACAGGGCCTGGGAGCAGGGATGCATAAGTTAAGATACCTTGGTTTTCCAAGAGATATTTTATTCCTTGTGAACTTCTCACAGTGAGAAAAAACTCTAAAGATAGATTCATGGGATGTGCAAAAAACACTGCCTGCTTTTCCAAATGCCTTCCCAAATTATCCCAACTTACATCCCAACCTCCTCCTGTGCAGACAGACAGCCGGACTGTCACAAACATAGCTCACACCCTCCACTGAGACCGTATGTCCATAGGGGACCCAGCTCCCCTCTCTCTCCCTCTGATAGCCAAATGGCTTATCCAAATAAAGCATCAGCATGGGGAACTTCGGCTCCCTTGTAGGCTTGGCCAGATCTCTGCTGGGAGGGCTGAGGGCCATGAGTGCTGTGGCAATTCCTGGAGGCACCCAGGACGATGCTGCATGTCTCCAAAAGTCAGAGGAACGAGCACTCCCATGCCAACAGCAGAGGAAGGGACAAAAAGCAGGTGGCTGCAAAAGGTTGGTGTGGTGAGCAGGGCAGAGGAATCCAGCCCTACTAAGCCCCAGTGAGAGAGCAGGGATGCTGGGAGAGGCGCCTCATCACAAAAGCAACTGCGAGAGCACTTGGGTTTCTAAGCTCATCCCTTGGAAGGAGAAGTGGCTTCACCTCCCTCCATCCATCTCCTGGAGTGAGGAAGACCTTGCAGTTTGTCATTTCAGCAGGCTGACAGAGCTAGGCACATTTATTTGATATTTCTACAGAAGAATATGTCTGAGGAAAATCAGACTGCTGTTTGGGCCAAAACAGGCAGGGAAGGAGGAAAGGGGGAGTTGAAAAATTTCCAAGCTTTAAAACATTTTATTTTACCTTTGTTTTTTCTTCAAAGCAAAGCTTTGACATTAAGAGAGGAAAAATGTTATGTTGATAAATATTAATAGAGAAAAGGATTAAACAGACGGGTAAAATAGAATGAACATGAAACATCATCTTTGAGTTTGAGCACAAATGTTTCTCTTCAGCTCAGAGCTTTCCCTGATTTTGGTCATCGGACAAGAAAATCCACAGCAGATCCATCAGTTTTGCTCGGCAGAGGGGCAGGGGAAAGACAGATCCTTACCGAACATTCCAATGGCAACTGAAGAATGGTTACAATGATTTCTTCTTCTACTAAGTGACAGCTGCAAGAGCAAGAGTAACTAACTCACCCAGAGACAGGAAAGTCACAAGGATGTCCAGGAGCACCTTCAAGGCCAGACTTTATCTCACGCCTAGGAAGCAAAAGCCAACAGCTGCTTACCTACCAGCAGCTCAACTTCCTCGGGCACTCTGACACTCATACCTGGCTTTCACTCTGCATTTTTAAATATCCCTAAAAAGATGGGATTTCTCACTCTCTTGCAGGAATTGGACCCAGTTTTTCCTCAAGCTATTTTTTATTTTATCCACCTGATGTTATTGGCCTGATCAGCAAACGTCGGGGATGCCGGGAGGAAAACTTTTTCTCCCGGGAATGGAGAAATACCCCACGGCACCTTCCTTGCCCTCCATTCCCACATCCCCAGGCTGCCCCCAGCCCCGTCCCCTCCCCTCACACCCCCAAGGCCTTTCTCCACAGGCTCTCTCTGATTTCCCCCTTCCAGGCTCACTCTTTCCCACCTCGCAGCTCCAGCCCGGTGCCACCGGGACTAGTAAAACCTCGCTGCGAGCCACCGTGACACGCAGCCCCGCGGGGAGGGCACCGGTCACGGGTAAACCGGGCTGGACGCCGCAGCCGGCCTTGCCCTGCGGCTTCGGG